CAAATACCAGTAAATGCAATTTCAGCCACCTGATATTTGACAAAGGGACCAAAAATATTCACTAGAGGAAAGACAGCATGTTCAGCAAATGGTGCTGGCAAAACTGGGTCTCCACCTATAGAAGGATGAAACTGAACCCCTCTCTTTCACCCTGAACAAAAGTCAATTCCAAATGGATCAAAGATGTCAATGTAAAGCCTGAAACTCTGAAACTGTTAGAAGAAAACACTGGGAAAAACCTACAAGTTATAGGTGTAGGACAGGATTTTCTAAGCTGGACATCAATTGCTCAGGATATAAGGGCAAGAATTAACAAATGGGACCTCATTAAACTAAAAAGCTTCTGTATAGGGCAGGTACAGTTCATTATGCTGGGTGACCCTTGAGGTGGGGACAACAATGCCAAGGCAAAGAATCTCGACTCCCACTGATTGGCATGGAGTTGGCACAACCTGCTCTTAAGAAAGCTCACCATCTTGAGGGAGGGAGCTCTTGATACAATGACCCCCTGAGCCATTCTACTTTGCCTTGATGTATCTAGACTGCTATCAATATGCTATATATTCTGAACTATACCTCACCTTTAAAAATAAAAAATGGGGGAGATGTGGGAGACAGGCTTGAGCCTAGGCTGAAAGTCTTATTGACAGCCATACAGCAGGTCTGAGGCAATGGCCCAACCCCTGGAGCCACAAGGAATGCCTTGTGAAATTTGCTCCCATTGGCAGATCATGAGACTGATGCCTAGAGCCCGCCACTCCCTAATCACCACTGTTGGAATCCAAAATTGCAACACTTAGATATTGCAACAGTCAGGGTCATGTGGTTTCCAGGAATCCAGGCTCTGTAATCCAAAACAGTATGCTAATGAGGCATCCTACCTGCTATTCTGTGATAGGATTTTAAGTCTGTTATGCTAATAGGATGCTGTCTGTTATGCTAATAAGGTATCCTACTTGCTGTACTGTGATAGGACGCTAAACCTGTTATGCTAATAAAGTATCCTACTTGCTGTGCTGTGATTTGACCACTACCCCTACATAAGCTTGTGCCTTCCTGCAATAAAGCAGACCTGTGTCACTAAACCTGGTCTCCTGTGTCTGAATGTGCCTTGGCTGACCCAGTTTCCTCACCAGCCCTGGGGTCTGGGACCAGGCAGAAGCAGTGAGGATCAGACGATAGGAGGCAGTGCCAGGTGAGAAGAGCTGCCTCAGCAACAGGCGAGCAGAAGAGCAGCCTCAGCCCAGGGCAAGTGGAGGGGCAGCCTTGATGCCCATGAGAACGAAGAAGCGGCACCTGTGAGAATGGAGGAGCGGCTGCGACTGGCGGTGACCGCACTCCCTCATATGTGGATCCTAGAACCAAACCCTGAAAATTATGTATCCAGACATAACTATAGGAACCAGGATAATGGAAAGGAATCAGGGAGGTAAAGGAAAAGAAAGAACCTGAAAGAGAAGAACAGTAGGAAACAGGCCTTAATAAGGGAGATATGGAAAAAATTGGGTTAGGTTAAGAGAGGGGGAAGAGAAGGGTATACAAGGAACCTAGGGGATAAAGGGAAAGAAGGAGCTCAAGAGAGGAAGGACCGTAGGAGAAGGGTATTATTAAGGGAGGGGTTGTATGAATCATTAAACTGGTTGAATTCAA